GTATATTTTGATCTGTTAGAAGAAACTGTATCTCAAAATTTTAAAGAGAGAAGAACTTATATATATATGCCAAAAATAAGGGTAACTACTATGAATGGATAAAATATGATTCTAAAAATGAAAAATAAAAAATGTTTTTTTTAAAAAAGGATTGATAAGATGTTGGTTGAAAAAGGGAAAAAGAAAAATTCAAAAAACAAAAAACAGTAAAAAAAAATTAACTTTGAAAAACTAATGAATCATGGTAAAAAAGCCATGAATTCTATGTGCAGTATTCCCCTAGCGCTGGAATTCTCCCGTTCTCCTTGATCGGTAAACTTGGTCTTGGCTTGCCGGCTGTTCTGCTGATCTTCTGGGGGAGGGGCCTGTTGCCGTGGTTCCCAAATGTCTTTGCAGGAGGCAGAATTGCCCCGCCCTTTTTGGTCCAGGCTAAGCAAGCTGCTCGGGTTTGCTCTCAGGAGCGTTTGTTCCCTGCAAGCTCTCGGTACAGCTTTGGAGGACCAGGGTGAAAATGGTGGCCTCCCACTGTCTGCCCGGAGGAGCTGAGAACTCGGGGCCCCGCTCCTCAGTGTGCCCCCAGAGAAAAGCAGTCAATCACTCCCGTCTCCCCGGTCTCCGGCCGCACTCCATGCTCACCCTGCCTGTGACCGAGCGTTTCTATCTCTGGCACCTGACCCCGTGTGGAGTCTCCAAACCCAGCAGATCCCTGCGGTGCACTCCTGCGCCGCTCCTCCTGGGGGAGAAAGGGGAGTCTCCCCGGCTCTGCTGCTTGTTGGGTCCCTGACGGAGGCGCAGTGGCCCAACTGGGCTGATCACAGTTTATGGCAACCCCGAGCTGAGAGCCCACGCTTCGGCTCCGTCTCTGCAGCGGGCTTCCCTGCTCCGATACCTGGGAGCTCTGACGCACTCAGGCACCCCCCGTCTTTCTGTGACCCCGAGGGTCCTGAGTCCACACTGTCCTGCGAGGTTTCCACCTCCCGCTTAGCCACTGGAGTGACGTCCCTCAGCGGAACCGACTTCTAAAAGTTCCTGTTTTGTGCTCCGCGGCTCTAGCACCTGCCAGAAGCGGCCGACGGAGGCCCCCTCCCCCGCCGTCTATCCTCCCGAATATCGCCTCGGATTCACTTCTCCACACGTCCTACCTTCCAGTAAGTGGTCGCTTCTCTGTTCAGAGAGTTGTTGCTACTCTCTTCTTCGATCTCCTGTTGAGTTCGTAGGTGTTCAGAATGGTTTGATCCCTATTCAGCTGAATTCCTGAGACCAGACAAAATCCAGGTCTCCTACTCCTCCGCCATCTTGCTCCACCCCCCCAAAAACATTAGTCTTTAACAAGAGTATTGCTAATTCTCTGTAACATCAGAATTCTACAGATTATCAACTAGGAATTATATATTTTAGTTTTCATTCTTATTTATAAAACTTGTTGCTTTCAATAATTAGTAAGCTAATCAGGTGTTCAGTTTGCTCAACATGTCTCTAGGAATGCTAAGAGGAGTTCAGAAGATAAAGAAATTATACAAAAATATAGGTCAAATATATAAAAATGTAATTTTAAATATACACTAACTCTCTTATTGTCTTAGGATATAAGACTACATATAAAACATTAGTCTGTATTTTTAATGCATCAGTGAGATTAGTTTCAGTTTACTTACTGTGTAGTATCTACATCTGCATCAGGCTTAGTGCTCAACTGTTCCAGACAGTATATAAAAATCTAAGTCAAAAATAAGAAGTTTCAATAACATGAATTCTTAGATACTAATCTATTTGAACATTAAAAATAATGTAAATATTTTTTCTGTAAATAAACTCCTTTTTTTTTAAGAGAGTGTGTGCATGTACACTCACAAGTGGAGGGGGGAAGAGGCAGAGGGAGAGAGAGAATCTTAAGTAGGCTCCATGCCCAGCACAGGAGCCTGACGCAGGGCTCGATCTCACGGGGCTCGATCTCACGACCCTGAGAGCATGACCTGAGCTGAAATCAAGAGTCAGATGCTTAACCAAGTGACCCACCCAGGTGCCCCAATAATCCAATGTAAATAAAAAAAACAAATATATGCTAATATACACAAATATATACTTATATATAAGTGATATGTATGTATGTATGTGTGTATATATATATTCTGTCACTGTAAGATGAATATATATCCCATATATATACTATATGTATGCACTGGGAATTTATATGCCAATGTATATAACATAAGTGATAAAAGATTAAAAGCATCTATGTTTTGATCCAACTCTAAATTCCTGAATGTATTTTAGGAAAAAGTCCTTTTCCTTCCTTTCATCCACTCAATCACATGCTCAGCTTTGTTATGTTCTCACAAAGCACTAGTCCCATAGAACTTCATGTTCTAGATATAATGTAAACAACTATCATGTCATTTAATTTGTGCTGTAACAGAAATATATGTAAAGTAGGAAGAAAACACAAAAAAAGGGAAGTATAATATAAAGGGGTATTGCTAGAACAAGCTGGAATTAATCTTACCTTGAACTCTGTTCCCTTACTAGCCATAAACTATTACGGACTCAGACAAGATGAAAAAAGAATGTTATACATATAGTATTAATAGGAGGGAGTTTACTATAATTTGCTTTATTTCAAGTTTCAGGGCATCAGTGCTTTCACATATTACCTGCATGATATTGATGCTTAGTTGACAAACCTCCTCCTGTGTTTTAGGTTGTTGAAAGACCTATAAAGAAGAATTTTGATAAGTTTTTGGATTTCGCTAAGAAAACAAAACTTTGTGTTTATGAAGCTCGATAAAAAAAAATTCACACATGGTGAACTGCTTCCCATTGTGGGTAACCTTACTCTAAAAGAACAGGAATAAAGAGCTGCCCTACAGACAGTGTTTTTGACCTGAGAATACACTGGCATGGAGCTGCCTGACAACATTCAGATCAGTCATTCTCTCTGTATACAAATGTCGATGACTCCAATTACTCTACCTACAGTACTTACATTCACATTTTAACTTCCATCAGCCTATCATGGAACCAAGATATTGACAGCCTATGCAGTTAAATGAAATAAAACAAGTAGCTGAGGGAAAAGCTGCTTGTGCTGAAATGACTCATTTACAACTGTGATTCCCACGGGTTCCTGGGAAAGTTTGAAACAGAAGTTGAATTTACAGAACAGAAAACTTACACTGGCTTCTCCAGGCTTGCACTCTAGAACTCCTTTAAGTGATTGCAGAGAATGTACAATGCACTGTTCAAACTGACATGGCTGATGGAAAAAAAAAATGCATTATCTTAAAATTCAAATATAAGCATGGGTTATTAAGACATTTAACAGAAGCAAATTATGGCCCCAAACTCTCAATTTTACAGATTTATTGAAAGGAAAACCAGATGCCAACAATTTGAAAGATAATCTCCTAGTCACCAAGATTTACATTTGGCATGTTTTGCACTTGATATTTAAAAATGGGTCAATCTTGAGATTCTAAAATACATCTACTTCAACTAGAACAGAAATTAGGTATAACTAAAATTTTCTTCAAAATTCTATCCTTCTGAGAAGCAAACGACCTGATAAAGAACAGATATAGCAAGTTTATATTTTATTATTATTATTTTGAGAGAGAGAGAGAGAAAGCATGCTCAAGTGTGGGGGAGGAGGGGCAGAGGGAGAGACAGAATCTTAAGCAGACTCCACACTCAGCAGGGAGCCCAATGTGAGGCTCCATCTCGATACCCTGAGATCATGACCTGAGCCAAAATCAGGAGTCAGACGCTTAACTGACTGAGCCACCCAGTGCCCAAGGAAATATTATTTTTAAGCAGTTTAAAGATAAGGCCAATAGGAAAATTTTTAAAAAGAGAGGTGCCCCACAAGTTCATATTTTAAACACTACTTCCAGGATATATTCTGAGCTCAATCTCCTAGATCTTCTACATGTCTGGTACTGTTCAAAATTTAATGTTACTAATAATTATTCATAGGAGGTCCATGATCTTTAATTCAAAAGTCATTACAGTTATTTTTTATATACATTAAGTCAGAAAATAAAACTTGAAGATATGTCCAACAAATGGCATTCAAGATAAATCTGAATGAATCATAACATCTTAGCTCCTATTGTATTTAAGGTTTCACTTTGTGCCAGGCATACTCTAGGTGACGGACATACAGGAGTAAGACAGAGTTCTCTTTAAGTGTATACACTAGGTTAGAAGACACAACCATAAAAGTCACAGTCAACAGAACTATTACTTTTTTACAAAACAAAAACCAAAAAACCAAAAACAAAAAAATAACTAGAAATAAAATAAGTCAATCGCAAACTAGAAAAAAAAAAGAAAAAAGAAAAAAAAACTAGAATAAGTGCCATGAAAAGAACAAATGGGAACTCAGAGAAAAATGATGATGATGGGGGAATGTGCTCCAACTAGGACAAAGAAGACCCCCCCTCAGACTGTGAAAACATTTAAGCTGACACTTGAAGGGCAAGAGGAGTCAGTCCCTTAAAAGATAAGGGAAGGGGGTGGTGAGCTCAAGGAGGCAGGACGACATGTGCACAGGCCAGGGTGGGCAGAGGCCGAAGGGGTTGTGGAAGCACAAGAACAGCAGTGCATCACAACCACTAAGGGAGAGGTTGGCAGTAAAAGATGAGGTTAAGGTTCTGGGTTTCACTCAGGGGCACAAGGCTACGTAAGGCTCATAGTTCAACTAAAAGCCTGTGCAAAAATCTGGAGTCAGAACCCCTCATTATTACATGCTTCAATTTTTAAAAGAGATTGAGGGAAAAAACTGAAGAGAAGGGATACCTGTATACAGAGAAGATTATTTTTTTTTACAAAAAGGAACCCAGACTTAATGAAAGCTAAAATATTGCTTCAACCTTAATGTCACTCTAGTACTGCACTTTGAAGCCACAAGAGGGCACCATAAAAAAAACTTCTAAGTACCCAATAAATAAATAAAAATAAAAGCATATAGTATGAAATACCAACTGCAATTAAGTATTTCAAGAGTCAAAACGTTTGTTAGATACCTGACCTTATCCCTCCAACCTACCTGCCTCAAAAGTTAAGAAAATCTAAGATATTAAAATAATAATAGTGATAATTAAATCCAAAATTCAACTGTGGGCAATTAAATGTTGATGTTCCTATGTAGTTACTTAGATTTCTTGCCTTACTATCTGAACGAGATTTTCTTAATTTCTTTTCATATATATATTAATACAATAAATGGATAGGGAATACCAGAGAACTCTAGTAGTTTCAGTTAAACAGGGAGTAAATGATAGTGTAAACATCTATTTCTTTTTTCTAAAAAGAAACAGTACTATCTCTGCATATTGTCAGTGAGCCACCCAATTTAGCTGACTATAGGAGTTATCACCAATCATTCCAGTTCTTATGAAAGAAGAAAGTTCTCTCAGAATTGAAAATTTAAAAAAATTTAAAAATTAAAAATTTCAGGTAAAGAAAAATGTATTCCTATTCCAAAAAATGTGATTGGTACTATGGAAATGTTAAGAAAATATAAATTAGTAGTATGTAATAGAATTTGAGACAATTTAAATCATTGTTCAAAGTCTTAAGAATTTTACACATGTCAGGTTAAAATACTCAAAGCTGGATCTTCAACTTTTACTCTACACACTGATTTCACCTTTTTTTCTGAAGTGAGGTCCATGCTGAATAGCTTAAAACATGCTCAGCTTTATCAACACTATTATTTTAGCATATTTCTTTACCAACATCTGGCTAGAAGATACAATGGCTGACACCAGAAGTGTAATTTTCTGTGGGTCATTCGTCTACAAAGTTTAGTCTTCTAGCTTGAATGTGTGACAAACATGAAATTATCCTATGGTTATAGTTTCTTAATATTATAGTTAAACTTTAAATTGACCACAAACAAGTTTATAGTGACCATTTCAAAATATTTTCAAAGACGTTTAACTACTATAATCAAACAACCAAACTGAGATATGACAGCTACCACTTAAGCACACACTGGGACCTGGATGTGGCAGCTATCATGTAACACTCACTGGGACCCAGAGGCGGCTGCTATCATATAAGCACTAACTGGGACCCAGAGAGGTAAAGTGGCTCCTTTAAGAGTGCATGGCTATTGGATAGCCTGGCTGGCTCAGTCAGAAGAGCATACAACTCTTTGATCTCAGGATCGTGAGTTCAAGCCCCATGTTAGGTAGGTGTAGAGATCAAATAAATAAACTTAAAAAAAAAAAAAAAAAGATTGCCTATTATGTGACAGAACTAAGGATTAAACCAGATTATGATTCTAAACCCAGTGCAGCACATTTTCCTCTACAACAGCACTGTTGAAAAGAAGTATAATGTGAGCCACAAACATAAGTCACATATATAATTTTAGAGTTTCTAGTAAACACATTAAGAAAATTAAAAGAAAAAATTAATTTTAATATAATTCATGCAATGCAATATGACAAAATCTTATTTCAACATGTGATCAATATAAAAAGTTGAGATAGTTTACATTCTTTGTGTACTGAGTCTTTGAAATCTGGTATGTATTTTACACAAGCCATGTCTCAAATGACTGCTTGTGGGTCTACTCCACATCTCCTTTCTCTAAGTATTTAGAGTACAACAGAATTAGTTATAGGATAGTTTGTATTCAAGCACAAATAATTATGAAAAGTAGAATAAGTCAAATAAACTAAAGCTAACTTTTATTAAAAACAAATCCTTTAAAATATAATTATAGATTTATTAAAAATAATAAATTTCCCTAAGGTCAAATATGATTTAATTTACAAAAATTTGTAAGTAAGCGCTGCTACTCTTTTTATTTTTTAATTTTTTAATTTTTTAAAGATTTTATTTAGTTATTTGAGAGAGAGAATGAGAGAGAGAGCATGAGAGGGGGGAGGGTCAGAGGGAGAAGCAGACCCGCCACTGAGCAGGGAGCCCGGTGTGGGACTCGATCCTGGGACTCCAGGATCATGACCTGAGCTGAAGGCAGTCGCTTAACCAACTGAGCCACCCAGGCACCCAAGCACTGCTATTCTAAACCATATTGTTATATAAAGTAAGGTACATTTTAGTGTACTTCAGAGGAATAGGAGAAAAGAATTCAACTTGTCAAAAATTCCCCAACTCCCAAAGAAAGACTATCAATAAGAAGTACAGCAATTAAAAAAAAAAACTTTAGCAATTTGAGGAAATGAAGAAATATCATTACATGAGATCACTGCCTCTCAACAACCTCATTCACCACTATTTTGTAAATTTTGACAAGTCAAAAATGATTTTATTCTAGTTTCCTCATCTACTAAATAGGCAGAAACCTAATTGCCTCCCCCAGATGTATTTTCTCCATTTTTCTTACTAAGCTAAAACAGGAACTGTTGGGATTAACAATGTGCTCTGCTAAAAAAACTGCATTTTTCCAGCCTCCATAGTAGACAGGGATGGGCATGTGAATAAATTCTAGTCAATTAGATGTAGGAGGAATGGTCAGCTGTGGCTCCTGAGAAAGTGCTGGACATGACAGGAATAAGGCCATGGTGCTTGGGACTACAGTGGCCTTCTTGTGATCATGAGGCCATCCTGAGACAGAAGCCACAATAAGGATCACAAAGAAGAAAGTCAGAAGGAGCCCTGCATATTGACTGAATGACTAAGCTGCCACACAAGTCCTAATTTCTTTAATGTTAGAGAAAAAAGAAATGCCCATCTTGTCTAAAGGCCCTTGATGTTTTAGCATCTGAATGTCAATTTAACTGATACACCCACCTACAGGATTACTGTGGGAATCCATGAAACAGATGTGACAACATGGTATATCATGAAAACTATTTTCAAAAGTATTTTGAAAATCTCAAAGTCCCATCTGAACAGATGATGACTCTAAAATGAATATGTCATGTTATAATTGCCTGCTTGACCTATGTATATATCTGGAGAGGTTTGCTGTTATTGTTTGTTTTGTTTTGGCTTAGGGGCCAACATTAGCATTTCTTTCTATTCTGTTTTTCTAAAAAATTCAAGTTACTGGGTAACTTAGAATGAAGCACAATCTATTTTAAAACGTAAGGCAAACAAACAATAGTGACACACGATGAAGAAAGAGCACTCTAAAAGAAATACGGTTTTTTATTAATTTTTAAATATTTGTTGTTGTGTTAAGCAAAAATGACTCTGAAAAGGAAAACTTTAAGAAGTTTATTTTTCTATTTTCAGAAATTTAGAATTACAATGCAAAGAATATGTTTATTAATAAAACAAATCATTATTTTTGAATATAATATACACTAATGATTAATCACTGAAAAGAATTTAAACTTACGAGAGAAGTCAGTCCTTCATTATCGACAATCCAGTCTTCCTTTTCAGCTAACCTCTTTATTTCTACAGAGAAAATAAGCACACACGTAATTTTTATTATAATTATCTCATTGAACTTTATAGAGATAAAAATCTATAAAGGTTATGGTTTTTCATTGTTTTATTCGAGTTTGTAAAAAAATGAAAAATAGGTAATAAGTATAAAATATAATTCTGGTAGATCAAGATTAAATGTGTATTGTTTTCTGGATTGTTTTCATAAAACATTAATGTAAATAAATTTAGCTCAATTTGGAGATTGCTAGGCTAGGCTTAATGACAACTTTAGATAATTGTTTATTACTTATTCAAAGCACTCTTGAAAATATTCAACACGTACAAAACAGGGCGCTTGGGTGGCTCAGTTGGTTAAGCGACTGCCTTCGGCTCAGGTCATGATCCTGGAGTCCCAGGATCGAGTCCCGCATCAGGCTCCCTGCTCGGCGGGGAGTCTGCTTCTCCCTCTGACCCTCCCCCCTCTCATGCTCTCTCTCTCTCAAATAAATAAATAAATAAAATCTTAAAAAAAAAAAGTACAAAATAAACTACAAAATTTTTTTCCTAAAATATCTGATTAAAATTTATACTCTGTTTTAATCCGAGACACTTCTGATGATTGGCAAAGGAATGCTATTCATCCCAACCTTTAGCATTTCAGGCTGTGTCAGGTCCCTGGGGGGAGCAGGTGACTTCAGAGGACACTGCTGTTTTTCACCTGGATTTTATTCCCTTTCTGTTGACACAGTAGACTTAGTCACCAATTCTGTAGAGATGTGACCTTTTGTTTTTTTAAAGATTTTATTTATGTATTTGAGAGAGAGAGCACAGGTGAGAGGGAGGAGGAGAGAGAAGCTGAAGCAGACTCCACACTGAGCACAGAGCCAATGTTAGACTCGATCCCACAACTGCGAGATCATGACCTGAGCTGCAACCAAGAGTTGGATGCTTAACCGACTGAGCCACCTACGTGCCCCAAGATGTGACCTTCTTACTTAAAAAGTCCTGGTGACAGACAGTTATGGCTTATGTCATTTATAATGATGTTCTTGATTGTCTTTGAAAATATTTAATATCTAAAAGGCTGCTTTGTAAAGATAACCCTGCTTTTTATGGCTGTATGTACAAAATCCTGAAAATTCTAAAAGATATAAAGAAAACAAGTATCACTTAAAATTTCTACTATACAGAAAACCACTGTTAGTCTTTCTTCTGATTTTACACTGATTATTTCTAAATATTTAAAATATACATACAGGGACGCCTGTATGGATGGCTCAGTCGGTTAAGTGTCTGCCTTCAGCTCAGGTCATGATCCCAGGGTCCTGGGATCGAGTCTCACATCAGGCTCCTTACTCAGCGGGAGCCTGCTTCTCCCTCTGCCTGCTACTCTCTCCCTCTCTGACAATAAGTAAATAAAATCTTTAAAAAAAAATAAAATAAAATAAAATATACATACATATTTTCAAAACTGGATTCATACTTATATTTTATACTATACTTTTTCTACTTAACATGTGCCATAAGGATGTTCTTATATCCTGAAATATTTTTAAGTATAACCATTTTAATTTACGCATGGTCTGGCATCTCAGGTAAGCAGATTTGGAAAGCTATTCAAAAAAGGAAAAAAAATTCTATTGAGCAGCTATTTGTGATTTAAAATACTCAAATTTCCATAAAAGTAATTTTCTCATTTTCAAGGACTAGAAGCTAGAAAGAGATGGCATATTCAGATAATCGTTGTCTAGCAAATGTCATCAATTTTTCCTAACATACCTTCTGCTGTGTGTTGCAATGTGACCATCACACAACGTACTCGGAGATCCAAAATGAGATCCTGGATAGTCTGTAACATGTCATTAGGAATTTCAAGGGCAGTCAACGATTCATAAGTAAGCCTGTGAAAGAGCCACAACAAAACACAAGTGAGCAGAGTGGGATCTTGAAGCAATTCCTGTCATCAGTCTGGCCAGCCTATGGAGGTTGTAAGCTACAATATTATATTGAAAGCAAGGGGAAAGTAAAACCATAACAGGAATTACAATACAGCAGTAACACTGAATTAAACAATAAAAAAGATGCACATTCAGTACGACATTCTCATCAAACATAAGCACAGGAAGGTTTAGGAGTTTAGGTGCTATATGATAGAGAGGAAATACTAGAGGCAAGAAGACATAGTAAAATTCTTTGTTGACTATGTTAAAAAATCATATCCCAAACTGAATGCGCTGTGGGTTTTTTTTTCAAAAACACAAAAAAATTTTTACCCGTTTTCAGAAGAATGTATCCATATTTATTTACCTTATGGTCTGGATGACATGAGCAAGCCACTGTCCTGAGAGCTCAGACTTCACCTCCCAGCCTCCATACTGCCTCACTCCACACTCTGGGATGCTGAGTGGGAGGAGGGCTCCACGGATCAACTTCACAAGACACTGCATTACTTCTTGAATCATTTTCTAGACAATGGTGAAAGTAAAACCGCATTAAAAGTCGTTAATTTGATTAAATCAACTAAAGGAATCAGCCTGAACAGTGATGAATAGTTTGAATGTAGATAGTTTTCTAGTAACTTTGGTTAAGAAAACATTATCCTGTGAAAAAGTCTACATACTTATCCTTAACTTACCTTAAAATCATTTTGTCTTTGCCTTACATTCTTTGATCTTTCAATCTGGCCTGATTTCTCTGCAGTCTTAAAAATTAAAAAAGCAAAATCAAATATATTAGTTGTCTTCAGATAAAAAGAAGAAATGCCTTAGCAGTTGTATATAAAGAGAGCATAAGATATGGTTGTAACTTGACTGAAAGGAATGTTTAAGACATAATCTAAGTTTCTGACTTAAAAACAGACTTAATTAGAAAAACTTTTTTATTCCAAAAGGAAGTTATTCATTTCCTTAAAACCTTTAAGTACAATATCCATTCCATAAATAAGCCTAGGAATTAGGATGAAATCGCCTTTTTTGTAGGTGAATTTCATGTGCCATGTTCATCAATAATTGTATATGGTTAAATCTAAATCTTACCCACGATAACCTTCTCAATACTATTTCTCATTAGCTAGTAGAGAAACAAAAAGAAGAATAAACTCTGGATTAATGTCTAGGAATCTTAGGATATCCATTCCCTTCCCTTAAACATTTATAAATAACCATTATATTTGGCATTTTATTTTTAAAGAATTATAAATCACTATTCTTTCAGGGATTCTATAGTCTAATTTAGCAGAGAATATATTCTAGAATTAAATTTTTATCTGTTTACTGCTAGCCATATTTTCCTTTGATACTTCTTTCTCCTTAAAGTAATATGTGGAAGACTACACTGATTAAAAGAGAAATCTATTCAATTGGATTTCAGTTAACTTTTTACTCCCAAATTTTCTAAAACTAAATATTACCACATAAAATGCCTAAGAAGGATAAGCTTAGAAAACTTTCCAAATAAAAAAATAATAAAAAAATGGTATGATGAAAAAGAAAATTCTGATAGTTCACTAACATAATACAAAATTATCCTTTAAAGTTAAAATGCTTATGAAATTATTAGATAGAGACGTGTCAAGAGAACTTTCAAGCTAACAACAATTGACTTCAAGTTAATTTTAAAAAACAAATAATGTTATATATATTTTTGGTATAAGCTAGAGAAACAGTGTATAGAGTTCATTATTATGATGAGCATTACTAACATGAATGAGCAAAAGAAGGGTAAGAACAAAAACATAAGACATACCTGATAAAAAGTGGTCAACACACACATGCATACATACCTCTTCAGGCTCTAATTTACATTTATTTTATAATTTTATATTGAACTATATTGCTTTTATCATTTTTTTCTTTGTAGAAACGCACTTTTGCTTTTAAAGAATTGAAGTTTAATTGTTGAAAAAACTAAACCTAAAATTCACCCCAGTAATAAGTCAATAAGCAAATTCCTAAATTCATTAGGCAACAACACTCAAAATTCTTTGTACATGAGGATTTCACTTAGAAGCTGAGGTTTCTGTCCCTTTATTTTTAAGACAAATGAGAAGTAACTGAAGTGTTTTAAAGCAACAGTGAGAAGTGACTAGAGGGGCTGACATTAGGAGCACAGCCAGTTAGGAGGATACTACACTCACCTAGGTGAGCAATCACAGTGCATTAGACAAAAGGAGGTGGAACATGAACTCATGCAGATGGCTTAGCTACAGGCTTCCAAGGCAGAGGTGACTGAACCTGGCAATTCTACTGTGTGTTTCAGTGAGACAGGAGAGATGTCAAGAGTGACTCCCATCCGAATCATGACCACTCAGGTAAGTCCAACTGGCCCTGAATGTCTATTAGCCTACTTTCTGTTTCTGTCAAAGTGTGATGCTCTGATTCAAAGTAACACTTTGAACACAATATAGTGGCCTATGTGTAGAAAAGCAAATGAATGGCCCCAGGTTTACTGAGGTGATAAATTAATTAGCTCTTCTCTAAGTAAGGCAGTTTGTCAGGTCTTAGTCTTAGGCACTTTTTTTCTCTATACACTCTCACTAATTTATTCTCAAGACTTCAAATATCATTTCTATCGAGTGCCTTCCTATTTTGGATTCTGCACTCAATTCCAACATGTGTGTGTAGGGGGAGGAGATTCCCCTCAAAAACAAGGAATTCTCCAGACACCAGTTGGGTGGTCCAACAATTCAACTCAATTCTAACACAATCTACCTGGAGATAACGTCAGATCCCACAAGCTAAAGGCTCAGTCCTACAAGATTTGCACCTCCCCCCCAACACACATGTAGATGCCAATCTCAAGACCAAGTTGTCACCTATGCTTCTGACCTATTGGCTACATATTGGAGGTTCCTATAATTCCCTGGACGGGTTCAAGTAATTTGTTACAACAGCTCACAGAACTAGGAAATGTGTTTACCCACTAGATTACCAGTTTATTATAAAAGGATAAAACTCAGAAATGGCCAGGTGGAAGAGATGCATAGGGCAAAGTATGAGAAAAGGGTGCAGAGCTTCCATGCCCTCTCCAGGCAAGCCACTCTCCCTGAATCTCCACACATTCATCAACCTGGAAGTTCTCTGAACCCTGTCCTTTGGCTTTTTATGGAAGTTTCATTACATGGGCATGATTGATTAAATCACTGGCCACTGGCAACTGATTCAACATCCAGCTCCATTCCCCTCCCTAGAGGTCTGAGGGTTAGACTGTAAATTCCAACCCTCTAATCACATGGTTGGTGATCCAAGCAATTAGCACCCTCATCCTTAGGTGGCGACAAAAGTCACATCATTAACATAAAAAAAGACCTCTCCCACTCCTCACTTGAAGAAATTCCCAGGGTTTTAGGAGCTCTGTGCCTAAAACCAGAAGAAGACCATATATATTTCTTATTATAAATCACAATGTCACACTTCCAAATTTGTATCTCCAGCCCTAATCTTTCCTTTGAAGCCCAGATTTGAATTTCGGATTGTCTACTTCATGTCTCTTCTTGAATAACTCACAGTAATCTCAAACTCAATACATTAAAAGTAGAAAACTGGTATTTTCCTCCAAGCATGTTCTTCAAAAGTCTATCTGACTTTGTAAATGGCACATCTACTCATTTGAGAGTCCATTTGGTAGCTCTATGTTAATTCTTGTCTTCATCCGACTCATCTGATCGATCCATCAGTAAGTCTGGTCAACACTACTTCCAAAATACAAACAAAATCTATCATGTTCTCTCCAACTCCACTAACAAAACCTTAACCCAAACACCATCATTTCCTGCCCAGACGGCTTTAATAGTTTACCCACTCTGACTTTTGTTCCCTGCCAATTCATTCTTGAACAGGTAACCAGAGTGGTCTTTTTTTAAAACCAAAACTCTGATCAGATTACTCCACCAGTTACAGTCTATCTGTGGCTTCCCACCATACTTGGAATACACATTCCTTACCATGGTCTGTAATGAAGCCCTATCAGCTGGTCCCTGCTTCCTCCTCTAGCCTCATCTCCTGCTTCTCCTGATACCCTAAGCCCACTGCTCAGTATACTCTGAATGTTTTGACCTTCTTTCTGTTTTTCAAATATGCCAAGCTCCTTTCCTTGGTTTTGCAATGTGCTGTTGTCTCTTCCTAATACATTCTTCTCCCTGATTCCTTGTGTGGCTGTTTCCTTCTCATGCTTCAAGTTTTGGTTTCAATGTCATCTCCTCAGAGAGATCTTTCCTGACCTCCATCCCATCTTAGAACCCTGTTTCTTTTATAGCTGTTAGCAAAATTTAAGATAAAGTGTTTAAAAATTGATTTTGGTTCTGTCTCTCCAGGAGGGGAAAGGTCATATTTATCTTGGTCACTATTTTATATATTTATATGTTTTTAAATTTATGTATGTATGTGTTACATGTACATACATGTATATGTGTGTGTGTGTGTGTATATATATATATATGTATCAGTACCTGTCACATAGTGTATTCAGGATATTCAATAAATATTTGGTGAATGAAAGGATCACCCATGGTTAGAGTTCTTCAGGAACTCCTGGGATATATTTCAGAAAGCATGATGGCCCTGAATACTACTACGTTAATTTCAAGGTCTTTAAAAAACTTGAAATCCTGGGTCTCCACATGGCTAACTGACCCTTTGAAGGAGATCTGCCAGGCATAATCCTATGATACATTCCTGAGAAGTCCAACAGACTCACTGCTTCTCCCGCAGATTTAAGATAACAAAAGGGATAAGCAGAGGTTTAAGAATTTCCTGTGAATACTGGGAGTTGGGAGGACTCCTGTAGGTATAGAATTCAAATGTTGCTGAGGAACCCAGCATCCACTGTGATGTGAAGAGGCACAGAATGACACTGGAATTCTACACTGCAAAATCTAAGTTAAGGACATTGTGATGGTTAATTCTACGTGTTAACTTGAGTGGGCCACAGGGCGCTCAGATATTCATTTAACATTATTCTGGGTATGTCTGTGAGAGTGTTTTTGGATGAGATTAACATTTGAATTGGTAGGCGAAGGGAAGCAGATTGCCCCCATTAAGGAGGGTAGAACCCATCCAATCAGTGGAAGGCCTGAATAGAACAAAAAAAGGCTGACCCTCCTTCTAGTAAGGGGGAACTCCTCCTGCTTAACTGCTTTGAATGAGGACACTGAACTGAAACACTGGTACTTCCTGGGTCTTGAGCCTCTTGGCTTTCAGACTGGAACTACACCATGGGCATTCTTGGGCCTCCAACCTGATGACTGCAGATCTTGGGACCTGTTAACCTCTATAATCATGTAAGCCAAATTCCTTTCATAAATCTTTTCTCTTTATATACACAGTTGGAAGCAGAATCAACATCCTCTTGGTTCTATTTCTCTGAACCCTGACTAACATAGTGCTGGTTTAGTGTGCTGTGGACAAAGGGATGGAGCTCTGAAATAAAGGCATAATTTGTCTCAATAAAGAGTCAAGCCAGGATAAAACTGTAAGTATACCAATATCAGATAGTGCTTTTCTAATTCTATCTGTCACAGTACCTAATACTTAACTTTTTGTATAGTAGCCTTGTTTAATGGACTAGTTATTGCATAGCTTTTTGTTCTAAATATTTTTAAATCAAAGATAAGAGTGAAGATCAATTTTTTAAAAACATCATATCAAAATTAAAACCAAATTTTGCACCCATTAAACAGGTGCTAATGAATGCATGGTGACATCT